GGAGAACATGAATGTAATTTATCTCCGCTATAAGGGACGCAAAACGGGTTTTCCTTCGGCTGGAAACTACGTTTGAACTCGTCCACTGTCTTCTTCTATCCCCTCTCGATGACTCGAGGAAAGAGAGAGACAGAGAAGAGAGGAGGGAGTACGAGGGGGGGGGAGGGGGGAGTTGGGATCAACTCTGGGGCCCAAGGAGGGTGGTTGTTAAGGGAGGTACCGCCGCTTCGGTGAATCAAAGAAATATTATATCATTAATACAGACCCCAGGGTGCAATGGGGCCGCTGGGTGTCTGCATGGAGCGCACCACCATCCTCGAGCAGCCTCCTTCTGTCGATTTCCCAACCATCCGAGCGAGCCAGCCACCCTCTCTCTACCCCCTTTTTCTTACGCGAAAGCTCTTCTCGTCTCTCTCTCTCTCTCTCTCTCTCTCTCTCTCTCTCTAACAGGCGGCCTCGCACAACACGACAAATGCAATATACATCGATATATTTCGCTATAAATAATACAATAAGATTTTAATACACGATTAATACGGTACGCAAATCGGGGCTGCTCTGTGCTGCTGTTAACACTTTATTTATTTTATTTCTTTTTTTTTTTTTTTTTTTACTCAGCCGAAATGAGTGGAAAACAACGAAGGAACACGAAGGTCGTCTCTCGTCGCGCGGTCGGGGAATTCACCGCGCCGTTACGTATCCTCCAATCACGCTTTGTCATCGGTCAACTCGAGAAACTGCGCGTAAAAGTCTCTCGTGCACTCGCCCTTGTTGTTGAACACGAACTTGTAATAACTACCGTCTGCGCATATCACTGCACATAAGGGAAATCGTGAAAAAACAAGAAAAAAAAAACATGAGACATTGATCGGAGTATGTAACGGTTTAAAAATCTTCTGAATACGCAAAGTGCGCTCGGCTTACCTATGATGCTATTGTTGTCCTGGCCGAACGCGCACATGCACTGGGGACCGCCCGGCACTTGAAACTTGCAGAAACTCCAACTCGAGCTGAAGTACTTTGGCAGGAACGTGGCGGACGCTAAACTAGACTGACGATTCAGCTTCTGATCCTCGACGGCGAATACGTGCACGGTGCCGTGGTCGCTGGCGACGCACAGCCACGTGGAGTCGTGATTGAAGTTTATGCTGCGAAACGAAACGCGCGTCTCAATATTAATATTCCGTGCCCGCCATTCGCGCGCCACGTGCTTCGTCCACGTCCTCTCCCCCTTCCCTTCCCCCTCGCGCCGCTCTTCTTACCAATAGATATTTGCGTGATTCGCTCCTCTTCTCAACTCGTTAATCATGTTACCGTTCTGCGTATCGAACACTCTTATCAAAGTACCTTTCTCCGAGGCAGTGGCCAACCTGGTGCCCTGCAGATTTAGAGCTATGCAAGATAAAGGCGTTTCGTGTGCTTCTATATTTAGGGGCTGCTTCTCCGTGTTAGCCAGGTCTATAACTGAAATTATAAATAATACAATTCGGGTCGTCGGTAATTAACGTATAATAAACATGTTCTGTTCCAAGTGCAAGACGCAGATCACTCGAGCTCGCTCCTCTCGACAAGGCAGATCCTCACCTTGAACGTGGCCGTTCTTTCGCCCGGGAAAGGCGAGCAGGGAGTTGTTGCTGTTCGGACACAGGACGCACAGCCCACGCGGATTGGGATTGGTTTCAAACACGTGCAACTGTTGGGGATTCTGCGTGAACGTGTAAACCTTGATGACACCCTCCAGCACCACCACTATCCTGTCTCTCCGCAATTTGACCCCCTTCACGGGCGCGTTGAAGTCCAGGGTGATTGCCGGCAGCTTCTTTATGTCGTCCCATATCATGACTGCAATTACACGAGATATAAGTGGCCCGTATCTACAATAACACACCGTATATATATATATACGTGGAAAGTACGTGAACCTTTGTTTGTCGGGTACATCGGCTTGACTCCACCGCCGACCAGCGCCAGATAATTGCATCTGAAGAGCATCTCCACATAACCGAGGCCCCCGTCGCTGAAGTCATGTCTCTCTTTCTCCTTCAGCGGATCACAGTTGTACACACGGAACCCGTTCTCCATGCCACAGGCGAAGCATCCTGCGAACGCGTGAACGAAGCGGCGATACAGCAACATTTTTTATCTGCTGGCGCGTAAGTATGTATACATACATCCCCTTTCCCGGGCAATATCAATCGACCGTCGCGCGTTCGTATTCACGATACTATGCACGCGCGCATAAGATGACTGGACCCGATAAACTCGCAACACACACGGAAACGCGCGATACCGCGCGGAATTTATTTCAAGTCGCACTACGGTGCAGCGACGGTGGTGATCGCATCGGGACGCGACGGAAGGAAGACGAGAGAGGGACGCAGATACGAACGTATATCGTATTCATTCACCGAGGCATTTTACAAAAATGCCCAAAAGATGATCCGCTCGCTCGCTAACGGGATTCTGTAAACGATGCGGCGAGTCCGCTGCAAAAAATCCGCACGAACGGGTCGAACGGCGCGGCGGAGAGACTCGCGGCCGATCGATCGGCGAGATCGCGAGGTCGTCGGTCGGTCCTCCGGCGCTCCAGCCCTTTTACGACCGCGCGAAGTTAAGAGGGAAAAGGAACAGTCCGCGAGATCATCGTCGAACATCGCCTCGCGTTGCCCCGTGTCGCGTCGCGTGGACGCGCGGTCGGCTCGGCTATAGGTTAGAACGCGGAAGCGAGGCGAATCTGACAGATACGCGCGGCGGCGGCGACCGACGTTTCGCGCGCCGTCGGGCACGCTGTCAGGCAACGCCGCGCGGACGTACCTTGGTCCTGATTGAAGCCGGCGTAGAGCAGGCCGTTGCCGTGCGCGTTGCCCGCGGTGAGGTTCATCGTCGTGGATCGCCCGGTCGAGACGGAAACATCCGGAGACCCTCCGGAGACACTCGTGTATGTATGTTCCTCGCGCCGCGGCTCTCGGTCACATCACGTCGCCGCCGCCGGTCCGCGACACTCTTCCCCCTGTCCTGTGTGCCGCTGCGAGCGTGCTGCCGAGTGCCGAGTTAACCGAGAACGTGCACGCGCATGTAAGTGGGCTGCGTGTGTGTGGTGCGCGAGAGTCGAGTGCTTCTGATAAGCGTGCATATTGACATACATAATACATATACGCTCGGTTACTCGAAGTACCGGAGGCACAAGGAATTATTAGACCGACAATCTTATGGCGTTAAAATTTAGATGAAACAACTCCACAATATTTTCTTGATTAATATTATTTTTATTTTTTTTGTCGATTTATTAATTTTTATCCTGATAGACTGTGATGCTTCATAAATTTATATTCATTTACGTTTCGATAACATTCGATTTTTTTATTTAAAACTGCACTTTTATGGTATCATTTGGGGATTAGATTATCCATGTGAAGTGATGATTGTAAAAAAGTTTTATTTTTTCGGCGCAATGTATGCAGTATTATATTGCGTTGTAAATTTTTATTCACGAGGCATTATTCGTAGAATAATAAATCCAATACTGCGCGTTATAAATTGATTAATTATATATTCGTGTATATATTTATGTGTTGGTACGATCGAAAAATTTATATCTACAGCCAGTAATATTGATACCCTTCAATTTCATCGCGGTGTTTGTTCCTTGAACAGAATATCTTACACCTTTTTTCTCTCTCTCTCTCTCTTACCAATGCCTATCGTTATATATCTGTTCCGTTTCAAGTACAGAAAATGCAATACGCATGCTATAAAGGAGCAATATATGTATATCTTTAATTTTGATATCTTTTTCATGTCGCGTCTGAATTGATTGAATTCCTGCGCATCAAGACTTTTTTGTTAAAAAGACGAAACCGATCTTTTTATAACAATCAATCTGATATTATTTATGCCGAGTTTCTGACAAAACTCTACCGACGGCAGAGAGAGAGCTTCTCTCTACCGACTGACGTTGAACAGCTGATTGCAGGCAGCCAAAACGGGAGCGCAGTAGCGCACTTGCGACGGCCCGGATGGGCAACATGGTCGCGCCCAGAGTTGCGCTTTCGTGGTGCCGGCAGGCTGCTTTTTACACACATTTGTCCTCCGATTAATTACGCGGATTTGTACGCACGAGCGCGATTCACTGGGAACGTATGGCCCTCAATCTGGCGACAGATAAATATCCAGCCCACGACTTCCACGAGACGTCTCTTCCGACCGTCGGAGCGCGCCGAGCGACGCGCGCTCGAACAGGTTAGAATCACACTCGCGTTGTCCATCCTGGGATGAATTCCCTCCGCGGGATCGTCTCGCGGGCGAGAGGCGTGCACACCGGACGCGCGCTGCTCAAGGAGGCCCCGCGGAATCTGAAGGGTAAGAAGCACAGCTCGCAGCTGTGGCTGATGCGGCAGATGCGCGATCCGTACGTGGAGAAGGCGAAGCAGGAGAACTACCGGTGCAGGAGCGCGTTCAAGCTCCTGGAGATCAACGAGCGTCACAGGATCCTCAGCCCGGGTCTGACCGTCGTGGACTGCGGCGCGGCGCCGGGCAGCTGGACGCAGGTCGCCGTCAACCTGACGAACGCGCACGGCAAGCGGGAGGGCCCGGTCGGCACGGTGTACGCCGTCGACCGGCTCCCCTTTTACCCCGTGGAGGGCGCGACCGTCCTGGGGAACATGGACTTCACGAGCGCGAAGACGCAGGAGACGCTGAGCGAGTTGCTGCGGGGGGAGAAGGCCGACGTTGTCCTGTCCGACATGGCCCCGAACGCGTCCGGCGTTCGCGACATAGACCACGATAATATAATGCTGCTAGCGTACGCCGTCCTGAGATTCGCCCTGCAGATCGGCAGGGTGCACCGTGGCAGCGCGCTCGTGGTGAAGGTCTGGGACGGCGGTAAGACGCGACAGTTCGAGGAGAATCTGTTAAAATTTTACAACAGCGTCAGGGTGATCAGGCCTGACGCGACGAGGGACGAGTCGACCGAGAAGTTCTTCCTGGCTCGGGGATTCAAAGGTCTCAAGACGAGCTGACGAAGCTGATTAAATTAGTTTATATAGGTACAATATTTTGTGGGATACGAGGGATGTGTGCGGTGAGCGGGAGGATTGATACAAATAAAAGAGCACGATAATTTGGTATCATACGGGCGTCGTATGCGGTTCTTTCTTTTCTTACAACTTCTCGTCACTCTCTCTCTCTCTCTCTCTCTCTCTCTCTCTCTAACAGGCGGCCTCGCACAACACGACAAATGCAATATACATCGATATATTTCGCTATAAATAATACAATAAGATTTTAATACACGATTAATACGGTACGCAAATCGGGGCTGCTCTGTGCTGCTGTTAACACTTTATTTATTTTATTTCTTTTTTTTTATTATGCCTACATTATGCCTCTATGCATATATACATTCCTCGATGAGTAAAATTAATATGTACACGAAATCGACATTCAATAGTACGGGAGAGACATTACACACCACATTGAAACATGTAGATCAGTAGAATTACTGGCCGCACAATGTCAAGTACATATCGTAAAATCTTTTGGGATTCATTATCGGCGTTCATTAGCGGGAAACACACGCGCAGGAATAACAAAAGCTGACTCGAAATGTCTCGATGGAGCAATCCTTATAGAATTCCGATAACGTCCGCTACAATAAAAGCCGCGGCTTTTCCTAGCGACATGTATGCAATAGATTGAAGTCAAGAAGCCAACAAATTTTAATACACGATTATTAACATGATTTAATACATTCTATGAATATTATATAAGTGCTACTTTTTTAATCATAGTCTTATATCTGTCAATAATCTAAAAATTTCCTATATTTTAAACACTTTGATCTTAAGGAGAAGAAAGCTGAGTCAATATTTTCAGGAGAGTATTACAAAGTGACAATTTAATAGTATAACATTATTCTAAATTATTTGCCTAATGAAAATTAACTTACAAAGACTTTTTTGATTTTACAATTTTTTACGCATCGATAAAAATCATTTAAAATATTCTATATCGAGATTTACGTTATCAATACTAGTCTCAAATAAATAAAAGCTTTAAGTGATTCTTGCTTACATGTTACATATAACCGGAGCGTTTATTATAGCGGTATCGGTGACATTGTTGCCGTCAAAATGCAATAATCTTGCCTGGACGAGAAGGCAAAGCGAATACACGACAAAGATCATCGAAACTTTTCGACCACCGATTTCAACAGCTGGGGCACGTGCCATGAAACTGCTCGGAATGGATTCCGATTTCAGAATTATTCAATTATTCCTTAGATTTGCAGAAAAAATGAAATAATTTCGATCGGAGTCCATTTCGAACGGTTCCCACAATACGTGCCCTAAGCGAAATCACCTTTGGGAAGCTGTCGACGTGAAACAACGATCGATTAGGTCACACCGAAAACACTTATTCTACGCTGTGAGCTGGCTAATGTAGGTGTAATTCATGATTGATCCGCAGGAAGAGGTCTAAACACGTCCGCGCGCACGCTTGTCGTCTGTAAAATCGAGTTGAAGTTAGAAAAAAATCTGCAAAAGGGACCGTGTAAACCGGAAACGGCGTTCGCACGTCCTTCTCTTCGAATCTTACAACGACGAGCACAGAGATTGATGCTGCATGATATATTATATATATATTTCTTTAATGAAGAGAGCAACACGATTTTCCAAAATTTCGTACGACCGAAAATCGACTACTACTAATAATAATAACTCTAAAGATCAGTCTGTGCTTCAATAACACTTCCGTTAGTAAATGAGCTCGACACATCGCTCGCGAGCTCGCAAATCGCCGTTCATCCTTATCTCGAAATTAGTGTTAACACTGACGAGTCTAATCACTATCTCTCTGCCGCACAGAGAATAAAGATTCATCAACGATAATTCGCACGAAACTCGGCTGAATTAATGACTATTTTATCATGCGATAGTCTAATCAGCGATATATATATTTTTTTTTTATCAAGAATTTATCTTCTCGCATTTTCGTCGCATATTTAATATTCAATGCAATTGTTTCGTAATATTTTCATAAAGTTTATTTGTCACATTAAAATAATAGAATCAAATAAAGTCAAATAAAACCAAATAAAATCAAATAAATATATAGTGAAGTACAAACAGAATTAAGATAAAATTAGAAAATGATTATTATTATTATTAAAATAACAATGATAGTTAAAAATATAGGGATCCAGGCGTCCCACGTCAAATCAAATATGTGACGAAAACGCGGATCGTTATTAATTTCTACAGTCGAAAAAATGTAAAAAAATCACTCGTAAAAAAATTTAAAAGTTACTTCGGGGCAGTGTTTTTTTCTACTTTTTACTTTATTTTTAGCGCATGGTACCGTAGAAAATCATAGCTTTCGCTTGCTTGTTTCGTAAAATGTTAGCCTAGTTAAATGTCGTAATTCGAACAAATCGATTCGAACGACTTTGCTGTTCGAAACACAGTGACACGCATTTTTTTTTTCACGTCAATCAATATCTCGCTGTCGCCGGATACGCCAATGAGTTCGCAAGTGACAACCGACGCTCATCGGTGCCTCTTATTTTGAAATGCACGATGCAGTTCGAACTTTCCGTAGAAAGCCGCACGTCCGATTAAAACGCAACAAAATTCGTCGTCGATTGCGCAAATACTTTTGCGCTCCAACACGCTACTCGCTACTTCCACGCTACTTTCTCTGTCGAACGCTTATCACTATTAATTGCGCAGCATAGATTTTTTATCAAGACGCACGCGTGAGATTTTCCTCGAAAAGGATTTTCCCGGATGAGAGTTTAATCGCCGACGCGACGTGACGCAAACTTAATAAACGGACGTCTAAGTACGCTTCTGAATTTCCCTCCGCTCTTAGCGAGTCCAGTTTTCTTCTCACACGAAGGGAAGACAATATCCGGGGAAGATTACTTAGATTCTTCTTAGAGGATTCCTCCTTCTCCTGAGATCGTCAAAGTCTCCAACGAAGTTTGCAACATATTTGCTGAGCAGAAAATACCATGCGCGATACACGCGGTACCGAATTCTTCGACAACTCAAACAGATTGCTGCAGAATGTCTTTCGTTTCAACAATCCCTCTCGATGTTATCTTCAAGGTTCTCTCGTACAATAGCGATCTAAACGCGACGGCAATTCGCAAACTACCTTGACGCATTTTCAAAATTCTTCCCGAGTCATTTGACACACAGTTCCAAAACACATTTCATTGGACCTTTCTTTCAAGGAAAGCGACGTGAAGATAGTTAAACGCCGATTGGCGTCTTCCGCTTCGGCATTCGCACCCTGCTCCTCGGCGATTTCCCCATGAAGGGATCCAACCTTCGCGACTGTCGCGACTGCCCCCCAAAGTCTGGCTCGTATGGATCATGAGAGCTTTCCCAGATCTGCTCGTTGACCCTCGCCGCCTCGTTGTTCGGGTAGGCGGGATAGATAGCCGGGTCCCTGATAAGCGGCAGCTTGCTCCAGAAACGCATCAGATCCGGTCGCCGATTCTGCCTGTCGCCGGTCGCCGCCTCGACCGTGATGCGATCGTGCTCCGATCGGACCGGGTTCCAATACACCGACTGATAAACTGGCTTCTGGCGGGTGGGTACGCTGCTCTTGGTGCTGGTGACGCCGTCGTCGTCCGCGGGATAGCGCGAGTTCTGCTTGTAACTCGGACCGTGTATGCTGTTGACTTCGCTGGACGGGAACCTCACGTGGCCGTCTTGCTGCGGCTGCCTCACGTAATCGTAAAATCTCACCAGATCCTCGCCCGAGTCGAGGTTCATCGTCGTCCGTGCGGAGCTGCTCGCCGGGACGTTTGACTCTGGGTCCTTCGGACTTTCCTGCAGCACGCTCCCTTTGACGTTCGATCGTTTCTCGTTGCTCGTGCGTGTCTCGACCGTCGGGTCTTCCTCCGGCGAATCGTGCAACAGCGATTCGGACGAAGAGGCCGCAGCCTCCGGTTTCTTGTTCCTCGCGAGCACCGTGGAGAATTGTGGGGTAAACGACTCGTGCGAGTTAGCGGATATCGGGAAAAGATCTAGACCTTGAGAAAAGAAGACTTGCGGCCTGACATCAGGACTCTTACGATTACCGAACGATTCTACGGAATCGTCCTCGCTGTTCCTGACAATTTTTTCCGTCACGTTCGGCAACGTTGTGGTGGTGGTGGTGGTGGTGGTGATGGCGGCGATGGTGGTAGTAGGGGCGGCGGTGGTGGTGGTGGTGGCCTGCAGCCTCTCGGTGTTCACGTCCAAGAGCGTCGTCTCCAGAATGAAGTCACCGTCGATGCTGACCTCGCTGGAGACATTACTCCCCGCCTCGTCCTTGTCCTCCGTAGGCGCGGAATCGTTGAAGCGAATCATCACCTGGTCGCGTGTGTCGAGCGCCTTCAGATCCGCGGTCTGGTTCCGCTGTCGCTGATGGCGATCGGGTCGCTCGACGTCCCGCGTGATGGGAATCGTCATGCCGGCCTCGCCGTGCTTCAGCAGCTCCTCAGCCGAATCCTCCTCGTCCGGCACGTCCGTGCTGTACGGATAATCCTCTGTGTCATCCTCTTCCTCGTCATAGAACTCCGCGTCCTGCGAGTCGTTCGGCTTGGCAGTCTCCACCGGAGTTACCTCGTCCTCCGCGTACGTCTCGTTGTCGCGCTGCTCGTCCAGCGGGATCGACGTCAGTTGCTTGGCAGGCGGAAGCGCGGAGTCCGGTGCGCCAGTGATGGCGACGCTCTCGTTAGTGCCCGAGGTGAAATTGGACAGCTGCGCGATTTCCTCGACGGTGTCGTTCCGCATCGACGGCAGATCGTCCACCTTTGTCAGCTTCGTCGGCGAGATCAGCAGCACCAGTGTGGGCGACGATTCGGTGGAGCTCTCCCGCTTCTCTGTCGTCGAGACGCTCTCTTCCGTGCCGTCACTCTCCGCGTTGACCCTCTTCACGCCCGAGGAATTTGACAGCGTCTTCAGATCCACCGGGATCTTGTAGTCCACCACGTCTGAGAAAGTGGTGTCGTTCGTCTCCTCGATCAACTCCGTTACTGGAAATTCCGTCGCGGGAGGCTTCCGATCAATCTTCTTAATGTCGTCATTATTGGAATTCTCGAGAAAAAACGTCGACTCCTCCTCGTCCAAGGTCGTGTCGTTCTTCACGTCGTACAGATTCGTCTCGTGTGGCTTCGCCTTCTCCTCGCCCGCCGCCAGGTCAGTCTCGTTGCACGTCGACACCGCGTCCGGTAGATTCGTCGAGAACGTCTCCTCGAACTCGACCTCCGTCGACTGGGGCTCGACGTCGGGCACCAGAGGGATATTGAGCTGCAGAGGACCGGTCGATTTCTTATTCTCGTTCTTGGAGGCCGGCGGATTAGCGAACATGAGCTTGAGCCGCTCGAGGATGAAGTCCTTGTGCGCGGTCGCGTTGATGCTTATACTCTTCACGCACCTGCCCATCTTGTCCGCGTGATAGCCCTCCGCGCATTCTGGTAACACCGGAGCGATGAACACGCTCTTCGGCGTTATCCTTCGCAGGAGAGTGGCGGAGTCGAGGCCGGATTGTAGGCCGCCCTGCGTGTCCACCAGGAGCCACGCTTGCCAGTAGTCGCTCAGTGAGCCGATGTCCTTCTTCTTGGGCGTCGACGACGACGGCGACAACGACGACGTCGACGGTGTTTCCTCAGGTACGCGTACAGGCGCCAGCTCGCCGCCGCAGATCATCCCGAGAAGCAGCAAGACGGGCAACATTCGCCACCGGGAGTGCCTTCGCCGTAGGCTCAACATCGTTTCGTTCTCGCGCTTCTGCTCGAAGCCTCTTCACTCGGAGCTCGGGAAAGCTTATCTCAAGACGCTCGTCTGGAAGACGCTTGCTTGGTCACCTGTCCCTCGTTTTTGGAAGCATCAGGCTCAATCTGTCAAACAGATAAGATCAAGTCAATCGTTTTATCTTTCTTAGGCGCGTGCAATGTATGTACGCGCGCGCGCGGTCGAGCGGGATCGAGCGGAGAAATTAGCAATACGTTTGCCCAACATGCGGCCGATGTATTAACTTCAGCCGCCGGGGCTTTCACTTAAGTTAACGGCTCATCCCAGGGAGCAATATTAACCCAGTTTCTAATCTTAATAGACGCCACTTAGCCGACGGTGCGCAGTACACCGGACGCGCATCGTTCTCCCCCGAGGCAATTTAGGGCCCGCGAGTTTCCACAGGAATTTCTCAGAATGTTGCGCGCATCTGCTTCGAGCTTCGTGCCTCTAAAGTGCCCCCTAGAAATGCTTCCATCTGTCTCTACGAGTCATACGGGACTTGAATAATTAGAAGAGAGAACTCCTCGATCCGAATGCGCGCGGCTGGACTAACCATATAGTGACGCAGCGTGACCACGCGGAAAAGAAATAAGTCGGCTCTGTTATTATCAAGTGAAAGTTGTTTCCGATCCTCTCTCGGAGAGCAAAGTGCTCATAACGGAAAAATCACGGGGGGAGGGGGATACTAAACTTCTATCCCGTCGTTCGGCGACATGCCACGCCACTATATGCACCGCAAAATCGATTGTCGATTTTATCAACTTACTCGACCGCCCGAATGAGCGGTATCCAATTAATCGTCGAGTTTACTGTGGATAGCAATGCGGACGACACGCGAGAAAGGAAGAGCCGCGCAGCTGAAAATACATCCATCAGACGAACGTGATGGTTCTGCGGGAACACGCGACGGCGAATCTTGGACGCGAATCATGTAGCAGAATTGCCATAATTCAGGAGACCTGTCCCACTAAAAATTTATCTAAATTCACATATGTATATACAGAGTCTGGTCAAATAACACGTACAAGCGACGTAATTCCTAGCTTATGAAAAAAAGAGAAAGAATAGAAAATAAAATTTTTCTATTTTCGGCTCACAATTAGTTTTCGAGAAAACCGAGTTTAAAAATCCGTACGCACGCTGTGTCTAAGGTATAACGGTTCGTCGAGCGACGTATAATACGCGTATTGTGTTTATAAACAATGTCTACATGGCATTTAAAAGCCACTGAGTTTCAAGGAAAATCACAAAGAAAATTTTTAATGAACAAAATTTAATTTTATCAATTACAGAATTGAAACTGTTGTTCTCGTTGTCGGATACATAACTGTCCTCGTCTATAATTATCGATATATGAACCCTCGGCAACGCATTTTGGTTTTTCTATTTTTCGAATGCGCGAGCGAGATTAATTGATTGTACTAATTGGTCCTCGACTTTCGATATCTTCACGTCGTGATATTTGAACGAAAACTGATTGTTCGGCATAGTAGAGCGTTGTTTATAAACACGAGACGCGTTACACGTTTGACAAACCGTATCTCAGCTGTAACAGCATGCGTACGCAACGGATTTTCAAACTTGATTATCTCGAAAGATACACCAAAAAATTTCATTGTACATATTTTTCTTATTTTTTTTCATAAGGAATCATGTCTTGCCCGCTTGTAGATACATATTCGGCCGGAATCTGTATATGTATAAACGAAATTAAAATGAAGAGTTTTTATTCATTTCTGAAAATAATTAAATATTTAATATTCTTTCAATTTAAAATATTTATAATATTAATTAAATGTATAAACATATTTAATGAAATGTTTAATGTAACTATTTTTTACTATAGAGATAATTGATGGTCATCAGCTGTCGTTTGCATACGTGACGGTTTTATTGCGCAATCTGCGCGTCGGTAGAAGAAAAATCAGAACGTGGCGCTCATCTGACGTGTCTCCCCTTCCTCCCCCCACCCCTCCATTTCCGCTCTTCGGTTACTTTTATATCTCGCTTTTTAACCGAGACGCTTCCGCGTATGAAGCCCAACATAAAAGGATAATTAAACGTATGCAACCGCGTCTCGCGATACACCGCCGCTTGCATTCTCTCGGAGGAGGTTTCGAGAAATACAATATACGAATATGTTTCGGCTTGTTACTAGGCGCTGACACGTTACCGTTCGCATATATCCTTAAAAGGCGTGCTGCAAAGTGCGTGCCTCATATGCGGCACTGCGGATAATGCAGCCCGCGAAGTGTGCGCGTATGTAGGTACGCGTACACAGCGCGAGGAAAAGTGAATGCACGCCGATCTGTTTTTACCGTTACGCAGGCACGCCGGGGGATTATGTCTGCCCCGTGAATAAGACGTACAAATACGAGAATCGACTTCCCGATCGTTTACGTGTCGTCGCCTCGCGGGGAATACTCCCGGGGCTTATTTCCACAGGGACGCCTCCTCGCCTTCTATTTTCAGTAGCAATAACACCGGGGAGCAACTCGGACACTTTATAGCGGTTCCGTGCGAGAAGCCGCGAAATGTCGTTATATATCTCAGTTTATACCGGAGTAATTCCTAACGTTGGTCTATCCCGAGATCGGTACACGGAGGACAAATTTGTCCGCGAAATATATATATATATATATGTAGTCGAAGCGCGCGTTTTTTCACATCGGAACTCCTCTTCCGCCTGGCGGTTCTTAATTTAAAATAAATGCGACCGCGCGCGTGCAATCTGGATCAATTTTTACCGTAACAAAAATTACGACGCCCGTCGTAAATCGCCCGTTTCCGGTGAGAAAAATGAATTCATTGCTCTACCGGGCAGTGCCTGCAGCTCTTGTTCCGAGGGGTGACACGAATCCGACGCCGGGGACGGGAAAGCGCAACGTGAAATTTCGAAGGAAAAAAAGCGGAATGCAAATTGATACGACGTGTCCGTATCACGCGGCGAGGAGGTAGAGAGAGACTTTTAAACGACTCAATTTATGAACATGCCCCGATGCAGATGTGAAATACAGTTTCCTGCGCGCGCGAGCCCGTTAGCATTCCAAAAAGTTCCAACGCGCCTCGAACCGTCCCGCCGCGCCGCGCGGCTTCTGAAATTGACGCCATAAATAAAACGCGCGCGTAACGACCGGCGGAGGGAGATTGAATGTCTCTCTCTCTCTCGCGCGCGCGCGCGCGACCATATTTATCAGCCTTTCCAATCAACGAAAGTCGATGCGTTAACATCGAGGTAAATGTCAGACGCGCGGAGGAGCGAGGCGGGAGGAAGCGCGCCCATCGTCTGGGCCTTTACCCGGGCGTTTACGATGCCGCACGTCGTCGCTGCCGCGCGCAATAATTTCGCTGACGGCGACGCGGCGACGGAAAAACGGGCGATTTTCACCGCGCGATATATTGGCAGCCCCAGAATTGGATCATCGCCGCCGGTTCATCGGCGATGATCGTTTCGGAACGAAGACTTAAAATATTTTGGGACATTCGTTGGATAATCGTTATCGCGGGGAGAGAAGGGGAGGGGGAGGGGAGGGGAGGATCGCCGATGTACGATTTATGTGAGAACGAACTAATTGTATTTCGTTCTACCTTCCTGGGGAGGGGGGGGGAGGATCGCCGATGTACGATTTATGTGAGAACGAACTAATTGTAAGTACTTCGTTCTACCTTCCTGGTATCTCCCAAGATATCGCCGTTGCGAGATATCGGTGTTGATTCTACTTTGGAACGATTGGAACTATCACGCGACGCACGGTGTGGAGACGTATATGGAAGCGTTTCTATATTAAGAGAGCTCGATATAAGGACCCTCGATTGCCGTCGATCGCGGTAAGATCGCTGAACTAGGGTACTTATCCTCTACAGCCTATTCCAGCTACAATCGCTTAAATGGGTACGGCGTATTTTGCGCTGATAAAAAGGTCGCTGTCGACGTCGTGCGGCGAGGATGTTGACACTGGTTGAAAAAGATCTTACTGAAATTAAATTGTGCTCTCTTTAACGAATTTGGAAAATTAGATTAGAATGTTAGGATGAAAACTATAAGATTTTTTTTTATTTCAGAGAAAGCGCCGTCGCTTTAATTAAGCAGTAAAACATGTTCAATTGTTAGGGGGAAGAGCGATACGAGACGTATACTCACGCATTAATAATTCCCCAGTGAAATTCTTTCGCGGAAGGTCGCGGAAGGCACGCTCGAATAATAAAAACCGAATCTTCGGTCGCCGTCCGACGAACGTTCGTTGCGCGCGCTCGCTCGCTTTGCTAAACAAAACGTGCGGCGCGCGTAGCCGAGGAGGAAAATAAAAGGCGTGTAAAAGGCGAGTATATCACGTTTAATGCCGGCGCGCGGCGCGTACGGACGCGAGCGCGTAATCCAGCTGTAAATTCAGTGATTCAGGGGGAGGAGGGGGGGGGGAGGGGACAGGGCGAAATAAAATATATAGCGTATCCGAAGTTCTCTCGCCGCTGTGCGCCGGACACACGATGTGTTGCTCGAGGTCACCGCGAAAGAGAATTAAAATCGGACATGGCAAAGCGGACACTTTATTGCGCGGCGTCGTGTAACGCCGGCGCGAAGGATCCCTCGAACGCGTTATCTCGCGAAAATATACGTACTTCTATATATAAAGAACGCTATATGAGAGAGATACGGCCCTAATAACGTGGAACTCGGCCGCCGCCGAGAAAAGAGATCTCCCGCAGACGTCGACGAGACTTTTTCGAGATTCCGGACTGTCTCTCCTCGCTCGTGCACCTACCGAGGCCCGTCACATTTTCGTACACGTGCCTCATCCTTCGGTATTATAAGCGTGGGATCGAACGAGGAATTAATGAGAATTTTACGGCATTTTTAATTCGCGCGGTATTATTAATTAATGGCTTCCGGCGTGCGCTGATGCGAATGGAAATGTTTACGGAGTGTCAAAAGTGCAGAGATATAACGGAGCGATATTTATGTCCAATCGAGAGTCCTTCTTGGAAATAAATTTGTTTACAAGGCTATCATCTGATTCTATAATATACGCAAAATATTATTATAGTTCTGGTTGTACTTATTGAGAGTTGATACTTTTTTTTTCCTCGTTGCGCGTTCTAGACGCGC